CATGTACCATCACAACACAGGTGCCATCACAACACAGGTGCCATCACAACACATGTACCATCACAACACATACCATCACAACACAGGTGCCATCACAACACATGCCATCACAACACAGGTGCCATCACAACACATGTACCATCACAACACATGTACCATCACAACACAGGTGCCATCACAACACAGGTGCCATCACAACACATGCACCATCACAACACATGCCATCACAACACAGGTTCACAACACATGCACCATCACAACACAGGTGCCATCACAGGTGCACAACACAGGTGCCATCACACATGTGTCCATCACAACACATGTACCATCACAACACATGCCATCACAACACAGGTGCCATCACAACACAGGTGCCATCACAACACAGGTGCCATCACAACACATGTACCATCACAACACAGGTGCCATCACAACACAGGTGCCATCACAACACATGTACCATCACAACACATGTACCATCACAACACAGGTGCCATCACAACACAGGTGCCATCACAACACATGTACCATCACAACACATGTACCATCACAACACAGGTGCCATCACAACACATGCACCATCACAACACAGGTGCCATCACAACACAGGTGCCATCACAACACATGCACCATCACAACACAGGGTGCCATCACAACACAGGTGCCATCACAACACATGTACCATCACAACACATGTACCATCACAACACATGCACCATCACAACACAGGTGCCATCACAACACATGCACCATCACAACACAGGTGCCATCACAACACATGTACCATCACAACACATGAACCATCACAACACATGCACCATCACAACACAGGTGCCATCACAACACAGGTGCCATCACAACACATGAACCATCACAACACATGCACCATCACAACACAGGTACCGTCACAACATATGCACCATCACAACACAGGTGCCATCAGGCCAAGCGAACTAAACACCGGGTATCAACGGAACACATGAGAATGGAATACACAAGCGCACGGGGCGGTAATGTATTTGCAGCACAACACGATGAGAATACCGGAGGAGATATTGACACGAGAGGACTATCAGGCGGAGGAGGAGCTGGCCGGCAATACATCACCTTGTTGTTGTTAGTATTGGCGTAACTCATAGCGGAAGAATTTACCCGCACCCGAGATGAAGAGGTCCTGAGGGGGGGCTGTGCTACCAGGATGGATGCCTCACACAGTCGGCGGAAGGGAGAAAAAAAATATCTTTGGAAGCAGAATGCAAATCTTAAGTGGGTGGTGGGTGGAACATGTACACAACAGGGAGTGATGGAGGCTGTGATGAATGATCCGAGATGACCCCTGCGGAGGAGTGAAGGATGGCTGGATGATAAAGTGAGGGATGGCTGGATGATGATGTGAGGGATGGCTGGATGATGATGTGAGGGATGGCTGGATGATGATGTGAGGGATGGCTGGATGATAAAGTGAGGGATGGTTGGATGATGATGTGAGGGATGGCTGGATGATGATGTGAAGGATGGTTGGATGATGATGTGAAGGATGGCTGGATGATGATGTGAAGGATGGCTGGATGATAAAGTGAGGGATGGTTGGATGATGATTCTGAAAATAAAGAAATACAATAAGATTTACGGGCGGTGTGGACCAGTCAGGCAAAGGTGGATGATGGCTATGTGGATGATGACTGTTAAAGCAGATATGATCCAGGGGGGGATTGGATGAGTCTGTAAATATTGATGGTAAATGACATGTTAAAGCACACAACACCAGGTTCCAACTGCAACAACACCAGGTTTCCACTCACTGCAATACCCAACACCAGGTTTCCACTCACTACAACACCCAACACCAGGTTTCCACTCACTACAACACCCAAATACCAGGTTTCCACTCACTGCAACACCCAACACCAGGTTTCCACTCACTGCAACACCCAACACCAGGTTTCCACTCACTGCAACACCCAACACCAGGTTTCACACTCACTGCAACACTCAACACCAGGTTTCCTTTCACTACAACACCCAACACCAGGTTTCCCTCACCCAACACCAGGTTTCCCTCACTTTCCTTTCACTACAACACCCAACACCAGGTTTCCACTCCTGTTTCCATTCACTACAACACCCAAATACCAGGTTTCCACTCTTTGCAACACCCAACACCAGGTTTCCACTCACTGCAACACCCAACACCAGGTTTCCACTCACTGCAACACCCAACACCAGGTTTCCACTCACTGCAACACCCAACACCAGGTTTCCACTCACTGCAGAACCCAACACCAGGTTTCCACTCACTGCAACACCCAACACCAGGTTTCCGTTCACTGCAACACCCAACACCAGGTTTCCGTTCACTGCAACACCCAACACCAGGTTTCCGTTCACTGCAACACCAGGGCCGGATTCAGGAGTGGGCAAAGTGGGCAGCTGCCCAGGGGCCTACACAATCTGGGGGCCTCCACATATTACAATATTTTATTTATTTGTTTATTCATTTGGATTATTTTTATTTTCATTCTTTAAAATTCATGTTTATCTATTCCATCACGTAAAACTATGTTCAGCAATAATATTATATTCTTTTCTGTGAAGTTTCTTGAAAATTTTTGTTATGTGCGGTAGTAGCTATATCAGGGCTGGTCGACTTGAAACCACATGAATGACTCCAGTCATGTCTCACTTTTGTGTGTGTGTTGGGAATGTGTACACTATCAATTAATATACAGTTGATTAAAAATTTCTCAATGTTCTAATTTTCTCAATATAACTGCATATGGCTTCAAAATTCTCCAAATTCAAATTTCAAAATTTTCCCGGGGGTCTTACAGCGCCCCCCGGAATTCCCAGATGTTTAGGCTCGCTTCACTCGCCACCCCACCCTCTTGGGTAGTTATAATGAGGGGGGCCTCCACAAAGAGGCTGCCCATGGGCCTCCACAGGTCTAAATCCGGCACTGTGCAACACCCAACACCAGGTTTCCACTCACTACATTACCCAACACCAGGTTTCCACTCACTACAACACCCAACACCAGGTTTCCACTCACTACAACACCCAACACCAGGTTTCCACTCACTACAACACCCAACACCAGGTTTCCACTCACTACAATACCCAACACCAGGTTTCCACTCACTACAATACCCAACACCAGGTTTCCACTCACTACAACACCCAACACCAGGTTTCCACTCACTACAACACCTAACACCAGGTTTCCACTCACTACAACACCCAACACCAGGTTTCCACTCACTACAACACCCAACACCAGGTTTCCACTCACTGCAACACCCAACACCAGATCCCCACCCACTACACCCAACACCAGATCCCCACTGCAACACAACACCAGGTCCCCACTCGCTGCAACACAACACCAGGACCACACCCCACTGCAACACCTAAAAAAAAACCACAGGAACACTAACACAGAACACTACAATACCCAGCCGCAGGAGACGGGCCCAGTCTTGAGGTACTGTAGTCGAGCACAACTGGACATCACGGGGATAATGCGTCTGACTCGGCGAAAGAACTGCCTGGTTGTTTTTCTGGCAGTCCAGAAGGAGGTGTTACGTAAGGCACCGGCGGATGTGAAAGTGGCTGCTAGAGAGTGTGTGTTTGGGCAAGGAACAACACGGAACACGGGGCAGGGAACAACACGGGACAGGGAACAGCACGGGACAGGGAACAGCACGGGGTAGGGAATAACAGCACGGGGCAGGGAATAACAACACGGGATACGGAACAACACGGAACACGGGACAGGGAACAGAAGTTGCGAGAGGGGTGTGGGTTACACGGGGATAATTATTGAAGCAGGGAATGAGGACCTTGTTGTGACCGCGTGTCGTTGTGAAGCAAGGGATTTAGGGCGCGGGAAACTGGTATTGAAGCAAGATATGAAACACGGATAAGAGACTTTGGGCACGGGGTAACTAGCCTTAACGGGAAATGGGTCACAGATCACGGAACACCCATAGGTAATTGAGCACACTGTCATCTTCGTGAACAGAAACAACACCTCAAACAGAACACAACAAACCCACGTTATTCCTTCAGACTTAGCGGTGCTCTTTGTGATCCATGTGTTTAGTGTTTCATCTTCTCATTGACATCTCTTAACTTTGTTTATTTCAACCGTATTTCCCCTTACAGCTGGTGGTGGTGTAGTGGACCAGCCTTTTATTAGGGTAATATTAACATATATTGAACTTTGGCAAGCTATTGAGAAACCATTTGTAAATAATACTATTACTGTACCGTGATTCATGTTCTACTTTTAGTTACAGTGTAGTGTGTGAGTGTGGGTGGCGTCTGTCTGTTTACACACACACACGACATGATGTCACTTATCAGCGACGTATCTTGACCAGTAAGGCCGGGTACGTGTTGTCCTCTTACGACGCCTCTCAGGGCGAGCCTCAGCCAGCCATTTGTTGTCGCGTATCAGCTGATGGGCAGTTACTCGGGCAACCCGCAGCCTGGACAGTGCCAGGGGTTGAAGCACTCACCTGGGGGGAGGGGGCGGCCCTGTGAGGGAGGAGGGATCAGTTCAGAGCTCTGGTGGAGGACGGGAAGAGAAAAACAAATCTCTGTTATGAAGGTCTCCAGGAGACTATACTTGTGTCATTCATTGGTAATTGTTGTATAAAAATTTTCAAATTATTAAAATAAGAGTTTGCTACCAGAACACTGGGGACCAATTAATGTGTGTAAACTACCCTCCCCAGCTATACTTGTGGTGTGTAAACTGTATTTCCTTCAATTCAGGTCACCTCAACCATTGTTTCAGCTGTGTACAGGAGACCTTCCATGTATGTACACTTACTATTCAGTATTTCTCTACACCTTCCCTCACCAGCCATACACACTTGTCCCAGCCAGCCCTGTATACCTGCCCCACCACACTATGAGCAGTGTAGACATATATAACAAGAGTAGCGGTGGTTCTAGTAGGATAGAGTCTGAAGATGCTCCGTTTCCGTCCCCAGATGCAACAGCACTATTATCCTTGCCACCACCCGTCAGCTCACAGTAGGCCACAGGAACAGAGATCGTCCGCCCATTACAGCATTTACAACACCGCAATTTCTCCAGAAAACGTTCCCATAATGCTCCCAGTAAGTTTTCCTTATACTCAGCTGATTTATGAATGGCAGCGACCACCACACACACCAGAAGCATGAATGGAGATCTACTACTGTACTGCTGGCTGCTGCTCCTCCCTTGCACAACTTAACGCCGACGTGCAGGTCCGCGTCGACAGCCAGAAGCTTTGTTGTTATATTTCTTCATCTGTTAGCTACCTCGAGTCTGGCTTGTTATTTATTTATTTAGTACGTCTGTACACTCCTGCCTTCGCTATGAGCTACAGGAAGCTGCAGTGCTCCCCGATACTGTATAAAGTACACAGCCTTCTAGCACATGAGCTGCGAGTGCTCCAGAAAACAGCCCACTCTGACACACACACATAAACACACATTTCTCGCCAACATTTTTTACACACACACACAAAAAACCATTAATCACTAACATGGCCATTCTACACTTAGCTTATCACTAATACCTTTTTTTGTCAATGTCATTTCATATTTTTATGACGTATTTTCCTTCGTAAAGTTTCCGATAATAGGCATTTTTTCCCATTGTTTTACAGTATCCATTTAAACTTAAGTTAATCTGTTTCTTCTCCGGCTTTTCTCTTATTCTCTTTTCGCTTTCCATCGTTTCTTATATTCTTAAGAGAAACATTATACATACATACATACATACATACATACATACATACATACATACATACATACATACATACATTACATACATACATACATACATACATATTCATTTTCTTCAGTTGTCTTTAACAGATCATCGTCTCTTATACCAGTCACCACCTCAACAGTCACCACCAGATCCCTCAACAGTCACCCCACCACCAGACCTCAACAGTCACCACCTCAACAGTCACCACCAACACCTCACCAACAGTCACCACCAGATCCCCCAACAGTCACCACCAGATCCCTCAACAGTCACCACAGAGTCCCCTCAACAGTCACCACCAGATCCCTCAACAGTCACCACCAGATCCCTCAACAGTCACCACCAGATCCCTCAACAGTCACCACCAGATCCCTCAACAGCCACCACCAGATCCCTCAAGATTCACCACCAGATCCCTCAACAGTCACCACCAGATCCCTCAAGATTCACCACCAGATCCCTCAACAGTCACCACCAGATCCCCCAACTCACCACCAGATCCCTCAACAGTCACCACCAGATCCTTCACTGTCAACCCTTTCCTGCACCTCTCCGCCACACCTCTCAGCCACACCTTTCAGCCACACCTCTCAGCCACACTCTACACTTGAGTATCATTATCAACACCTGTCCTCAACACCTCACCTGTTTTAGTTTAAACTTGTTTGTGCCTCTTGAGTCTGTCTAAAGCTGCCGTTAGCTTAGATCACCACAACTGCAGGTAGACCGTAGCAGCCGATAGCTTTGACAGTTGTAGCTATTAGATTAGAACAGCTGCAGTGAAGACACAAGTAGTACCCGTTAGCTGTGATTATAGCACCCGTTAGCTGTTAGTTTACACAGTAGCTGCCGTGAGCTTGGATAGACAATGTAGTAGTCGTTAGCTCGGACAGATGGTGTACTTTGTCCCCGGTACTTCTTAGTTGTAGATAAAGTAGATGTTTCATCGTGTCTTAGGTACTGTACAGGTTACAAGACTCAACTCTAGTGGCCACACTACGTGACCCAGGTAAGAGCTTCTTCACCCACAACACGAGCAACATATGGCCCTGGCCCCGGCCCTCAGAGCTCCATAATAAGTTTTATATCAGGCAGTTGTCCGCGTTCCTCACATACCGTACAGTTTTCTGCTTTTATTAACAACAGCCGCTTGACGTGTGGTTCGACCGCGCTGTTCCAGGGTCCAGATTCTGAAGGGTTTTGTCGGTAAAATTTGTCTTAATGGGGTTAAGTTGAGTTGTTGAAGAAGGCGAAAAACAGAGAAAGAGTTGAATGCCTTGGGGAAAAAACAACGCGCGCTAGATGATGGCGAGAGGTGCAAGAATGCAACTAAATCACGATGCAGAATTAGGACTGAAAATGGTGCCGAAATCATACCAACACTCGACCGTAACTATAGATGTTCGCTCCTGTACCCATAACAGAGAGACTTAGGGTAACTGGCAGTGTTGAGCCACACGCTTTGACAAAATATCCCTCACACGTGAAAAACATTATCATTCATACAAGGAAAGACTGGTATTAAGCGGACTCCACACAGCCGAAAGTAAAGATTGAACCTTTTGAATCCTGGGTCGAGATTAGAGCAGCGTGTGGTAAGAAGTATCACACGATTTTTACCAGTCATTGTTGATGATTGGTTGCCGTATTGATTATCTTTGTTTCGTTTGCCAAAAGATGCAGTTAGTCCATCCTCACAGTCAGTCACAGAAAGAATGTACGAACCTAGTTGAAAACTTTACGATGGCGCTGTACAAGTTATATCCAGCGGCATATATTTGTTTATTAGTTACGATCATGTTTCTTTTACGACAAATGAAAACTAATGTAATGGAATTTAAAAACCCCGAAAATGGGAGGCCAGAAGCACCAGCTGGTAGGCTTTTAGGAACTGCGTGACGTCACAGTAGAGATAAATAAACGAGCAAGAAAAAAACTACCGTTCTCACACGAAGTTCAAGAGGAAAGGTTGAAAATTGGAGCAAAGAGACAGTAGCAGCCAACAGTTAAGGCCCTCACAAGGCTGGCTCTCTGGGTGGTGACCTAAAGAGGGAAACCCAGGTGCTCAAAACCCGTGGATGAAAGACACGTCAATGAAAATGTCTCGGAACAAGAGGGAACATCTGACACAACCCTTAAAATGAAGGACTGTCTCTACCGCAGTCAGACATGCAGCCTTATTTACCGCATCGAAAAAAAAAGTCTTTTCTCGAGGGCGACTCATGTACACATTGCCCAGATTGTGTCGTCGTCCGTCATCACGTGCACATATGTAAGTCTTATGTACAGCTTCAAAATTGAGTTCTGCCAGTTGTTATTTTACCTTGCCAAGCATTTCCAATATTTTGCCTCTATCCGTCAATCTTCCCGGCCGCTCGCTTCTCATCTGTTGGTTTTAGCTTTCAATTGTGTACATTTCAGATTGAATCACCACTCAGGTCTCCGTGCACCAGGAAAGACATGCGAAGCTTTTTTAACATGGGCTCATAATTTCGACGCAACTGTCATAGAATAATGACCTGCTATAGAGGTCTATGTGAAATCCAATTCCTCGACGTTGTCCCATTAAAAAGAAAGCCAGTCCCGGAACTGACTCCTCACCTGACGGAAATACCTGTACCTGTGAATAGAAACAGTATGCTGACCTTTCTCTCTCGTGTTCATATGTTCTCTCAGTACGATATTACCTGATGAGTTTTAAGCACAATATCAAGAGTTTTATCTCAAGACGTCACGCACCATTTGCCCGCTATTGTTTATTCACGATTTTCAGTATAGACTAAAAAAATATAAATCCTTTTTTGGCTAAATTGATCATAAAGTTACAAATGCATTAAGCTATACACAGAAAAAGGTGTCTTATACGTCAAGGCTCACACTCGCAAGTTCTTCAATTAAAATGTCCAGGAGGAAACTTTGAGATGAAAAGAAGGTATCTGACTGACTAAAACTAAAGCAAACACACACACACACACACACACACACACACACACACACACACACACACACACACACACACACACACACACACACACACGGGAGCCAACACAAGCACACACAAAGTAGTCGGTACAGTAGAAGTTCAGCCTGAAAAGTTTTAAATATTCACGTATTTTCGTACTTTTTATCACGACACTTCCAGGAACATCAGTTGCCCTCCTGAAGCTGCTGCGTCAGGTACTGTAAAATAGTGAGTCTTAACCTGAAGGCTCCCTTTAGCTGGGTAATGAAGTCTTTGTTTGTAGCTGGTAGATGAGGATAACATTCAGTTGAGTTTACTGTCAGTCATTTCTATACTGCCAATCATATAATTTACTAGTTACCAGTCATTAATTTACTAGTTGCCAGTCAGTCAGCCAGCCAGCCAGTCAGTCAGTCAGTCAGTCAGTCAGTCAGTCAGTCAGTAATTTTCAAGATGTCAGTCTTTCATTTACCAGTCATCAGTCAATCATTTAAGAAACGCTAATCACTGCTTCATGTCTCGTTGCGTTCCCATGAGAAAAATAAAATGTGTGTGTGTGTGCGTGTGTGCGTGAGTGAGTGAGTGAGTCAGTCAGTCAGTCAGAGGGAGACACGAACGGACAAACAGACAGACAAACCTGGATATCTCATGTTAATAGTCTGTGGCCTCACCCCCTACCCCAGCACTGATATTAAGGACCACTTGAAGATTAAACATTCAGAGATAACTCTAACACTAACCAACCTAACCTAATGTCCCTCCCCCGCCGGGTAGCGTTAGGGTGTTCAGGCAATAAAATATATAATAGTCTAGTTCGGATTTGGATTGGAGAGTGGATTAGGTAACGCTTCTAGTTATGGTAAGGTGTACTAGGTAAAAGGTAGGACCATTTGTAATTAAGTTAGGTAGGATTGTAGGTGATTTTAATTAAGGTAGAACTCGAGAACGTATCTATTAATAGTCGATTCTAGTTCAGTTTTAGCCACCCGCGTAGTTTGAGTCATCCATATTGCTGCGTTCTCACAGGTTCAATTCGTGGCAAAAATTCTGTCTTGGGAATAATTAAAGAGTATCCGGACCCCGGAACATTTCTGTCTTGGGATTAGGTTTGTTTAAAGGTGGTAAATCATCAGGTGAAATAAGCTAGGGTGGCTCATCTTCTCGTGATTATTTTTCTTTGCCGGTACCAAGAATTCGATCGTGTTCTAGGTGTAGTTATGTAGTATTGAGCTCTTATAGTGTCTTGCATCCAGGTCTTGTACTCTTCATCTGGAAACAAAAAATCTTGGAAAATGGAGAATAACTTTTACCTTGCTTTCATTTATTTAATTTTATTTTTTATTTAGCGTCCTGTCTACCTCAAGCCTTATTTTGTCATGTAGCCACCTCATGTCG